AACCGCTGTTAGGCAGGTGAGCTTCTAGCACCTTAACAACCACAACACCTGCTGGTCCCTTAAATGGTGTTTTTAATGATGAAATGTCACAGGCATATCAGCACTCATCTAATAGTATAAGAAACATTCTTAAGGCTATGACAGATGCTACAGAAGTGTCTGTGTCGCCCTCTCTGATCCCATTCTCGTCCTTTCACAAAGATACCTCCTGTCTTAGTCTGCTAGAATAAAAATACCTTACCCTGGGCAATTTATCAACACAGAAATATATTTCCCACAGTCCCGGAGGCGAGGACATCCAAGATCAAGGAACCAGCACATTCTGTTCTGGTGAGGACTCACTCTGTACTTCAAAGACAGTGTTTTCTTGTTGTCCTCACATGGTTTAAGGGACGAGAGAGCTCATTTGAGCCTGTTTCATAAGAGCATTAATCCTACCCATGACTTAATCATGTCCCCAGGGCCTTCACTCTTTTTTTTTCTTTTTTTTTTTTTTTTAGAGATTTTTGCATGTATGCTCACCAGAGAGACAGAAAGTGAGAAATGCCTTCCCAGGGGGAGGACGGCCACACCTCAGTCCCTTCTCCTCCATTCTCCTCCTGATATTTTGGGCCTGCAGGCGCACGTGCTCCACGTGAGTTTTAGGCTCCCAGGTCTGGGACTGGAGCTGTGGTCAGCCACGTGGGGGTCCAGTGCCTTAGCCACTACACCACCTGTTGGCCCTGACCTTATCTCTTGCTGTGATCACACTGGCTTTTAGGTTCTGACGTCGGAATTTGGGCAGGCATCAACATTTCAGAGAGAGTAACTATAATCTTGAACTTGAGACTGATCTTCCTTAAAATCTGTTGTGCACGAATGTGTTCATAAACAACACATAGCATTTGTGTGTACTTTGTTGTTATTTTTGTTTTTCAATTATTTTATTTAACTGTATTTATTTATTTATTTTAATTTGACGAGAGAGAGAGAGAAAGTGAGAAAACAAGCCGCCAGGTCTGGGACTTGAACCATATTCGGCCATATAGGAATCCAGTGTCCTTAACCACCATGCCACCTGCTGGCCCACTGTGTGTACTTTGAAAATTCACATAAATGGCTTCATATCATATGCATCCTTTGTGACTTCCTTATATTTTTGTCTAACACTATTTTTTGAGGTTTACCTATATTGTTGATACATGTAGCTCTGGAGTTCCATTTTCACTGCTATACAGTATTCCACAGCAGGACTAAATGAAAATTTACTCATTGGCTAGTCGATGATCATGTATGTTTTCCCATTTATAATAATGCTACAGTAAACAATGTTACCCAGGTCTTCATGCAAACAAGTTTCTCTAGGGAGTTTAGAAGTAGGTTTAGGAGTAGCATTACTATTTCAAAAAGCATGCATTTCATTAGGTTTACTAGATGCTGGTCAAATTGTTTTCCAAAGTAGTAGTATTCATCTCTAGTAAGATCCCCTACCAGTTGTATATGAGAGTATTGATTGTTCTACATTTGTCAGACTTAAATTTTTGCTAATCAGATGGAAGCAAAATGGTTGATGTACACTTTGAAAATAGGAACACCTCTTCCTAAAGCCATTTACTGAATGTTCAAGAAATTGTGCAAATTACTTCAGCATTTGCAGAAGCCAGAGTCTTTAAGAATTGAGGCTTTTAAAAAATCAAATCTAGAAGTGCCTGCTGGACACTACTGCTTGGCAGACAGAGGCCACATGGGAGACCTAGGTTTGATTCCTGGCCTACCCTAAAAAGTCAGCATGGTGACACATCTGCAGCCTCAGCTTTTTGGGAGACTGAGGCAGAGGGGTTGCAACGTAGTAAGATCCTGTCTAAACATACACGCCCCCCCAGTCAGAAAGCCCTAGAGGAGCCAAGTCACCAAGAACCAGCACACAGGGGAACCAGCAGTTAGCGTAATGGCTATGTCGCTGGACTCCCACGTAGTTGACCACGGTTCACATCCCGGACCCGGTGGCTTAAAACTCACGCCAGGCGCGTGTGCGTGCGTGCCCTAGATCCCGAGAGGAGAATGGAGGAGAAGGGATTGCAGCGTGACCATCCCCCCTGGGGGGTGATTTCTCGCTTTCTGTCTCTATGTTTCTCTGTCTGTCTGGCGAGCGCACGCGCCCTATAGCGAAAACCTTTCCAAAAAAAAAGAATCAGCACACAGGAAACCCTGGCGCATCCCACTCTTTGACTCTTTGGCCTGGATGGACCCTGTGGGACCCAACTGGAGACTTGGTTCACTAGCATTCCATGGAGCAGCTCCTACCTTCTACCTGAAGTGATGTGTTGACCAGAGGAGAAGGCCTAAAGGGCCTTAAAGTTCAAACTCCTCTACTTAGGGTCCCCCAAACAGCCTGTGTCACTTTTTGCTTGAGACTAGTGCCGATCAGGAGGGTCTGTAGGCTAGGTAAGGACCTTGGCATTTACTTTTGTGAAATAGGAGCAATTGGAGAAGTGACATGCTCTGACCTCTGTCTTAGGAGGGTCACTCTAAACCTCTTAGGAGGCTGCCATATAGAATCTGAGAGGACAAGGGAAGAAGGGGAGACTTGCTAGGAGACGACTACGATCATCCAGGTGAGAGGCTTGAGCCCAGCTGACGGCAGTGGGAGTGATGAGAAGTGGTTAGATGGAAGACTCCTTTGGGAAGCAGAGTCAGTAGGATTTGCTGTTGGGTTAGATGTCAGGTGTGAGAGGAAGAGGAGCCTAGGATGACTCCGAGGTCTTTTGCCTGATCAACCAGGAAGATGGAATTGAAATTCACGGAGACGGGAGAAATGGTGGGAGGAGCAGGCTTGGTAAGGAGTGGGTATTATAGAGCACTGTTCTAGACATGTCAGATTTACAACGCCCAATAGATATCCAAGTGGTGCTGTTGACTAAACAGTTGGATATATTAACCTGGAGGTCAGGAGTGGAGATATGCAT